AGTTCCCTCATGTTGTGGCGACCCTTTAGTACAGTTCCCTCATGTTGTGGCGACCCTTTAGTACAGTTCCCTCATGTTGTGGCGACCCTTTAGTACAGTTCCCTCATGTTGTGGCGACCCTTTAGTACAGTTCCCTCATGTTGTGGCGACCCTTTAGTACAGTTCCCTCATGTTGCCGCGACCCTTTAGTACAGTTCCCTCATGTTGTGGCGACCCTTTAGTACAGTTCCCTCATGTTGTGGCGACCCTTTAGTACAGTTCCCTCATGTTGTGGCGACCCTTTAGTACAGTTCCCTCATGTTGTGGCGACCCTTTAGTACAGTTCCCTCATGTTGTGGCGACCCTTTAGTACAGTTCCCTCATGTTGTGGCGACCCTTTAGTACAGTTCCCTCGTGTTGTGGCGACCCTTTAGTACAGTTCCCTCGTGTTGTGGCGACCCTTTAATACAGTTCCCTCATGTTGTGGCGACCCTTTAATACAGTTCCCTCATGTTGTGGCGACCCTTTAATACAGTTCCCTCATGTTGTGGCGACCCTTTAATACAGTTCCCTCATGTTGTGGCGACCCTTTAATACAGTTCCCGCATGTTGTGGCGACCCTTTAATACAGTTCCCTCATGTTGTGGCGACCCTTTAATACAGTTCCCTCATGTTGTGGCGACCCTTTAATACAGTTCCCTCATGTTGTGGCGACCCTTTAATACAGTTCCCTCATGTTGTGGCGACCCTTTAATACAGTTCCTTCATGTTGTGGCGACCCTTTAAAACAGTTCCCTCATGTTGTGGCGACCCTTTAATACAGTTCCCTCATGTTGTGGCGACCCTTTAATACAGTTCCCTCATGTTGTGGCGACCCTTTAATACAGTTCCCTCATGTTGTGGCGACCCTTTAATACAGTTCCCTCATGTTGTGGCGACCCTTTAATACAGTTCCCTCATGTTGTGGCCACCCTTAAATACAGTTCCCTCTTGTTGTGGCGACACTTTAGTAAAGTTCCCTCATGTTGTGGCTACCCTTTAATACATTTCCTTCATGTTGTGGCGACCCTTTAATAAAGTTCACTCTTGTTGTGGCGACCCTTTAGTACGGTTCCCTCTTGTTGTGGCGACCCTTTACTACAGTTCCTCATGCTGTGACGACCCTTTAATACAGTTCCCTCATGTTGTGGCGACCCTTTAATACAGTTCCTTCATGTTGTGGCGACCCTTTAATACAGTTCCTCATGTTGTGGCGATCCTTTAATACAGTTCCCTCATGTTGTGGCGACCCTTTAATACGGTTCCCTCATGTTGTGGAGATCCTTTAATAAAGTTCCCTCATGTTGTGGCGACCCTTTAATACAGTTCCCTCATGTTGTGGCGACCCCCACACAACTATTTTCCTTTATAACTTCAATGGATATGTGTTTTCCTATGGTCTTGGGCGACCCCTGTGAAAGGGTCGTTGGACCCAAATAAAAAGTGTCTGGACCGACAAGTTGAGAACCACTGGTCTAGGACTTACAGAACTTGCCTCAACTATTTCTTGTCCGCTAATTCTTCTATTGTTGGCACCTAGACCACTAAGTTCCATTGTGTTGTAGGAAGACATGGGTATGAGAGCCTTTGGCGATACCGCGTGTCTTTTCTTTTAGTTCACCCTATCTCGGGGAATCCGAGACTTCATGGGGAGTTCCCGGGAAAGTCCAATTATATAGGGGTGTAAGGGTGTGAAATAAACTAGCCCTCTTTCTATAATATTGGTCTTTCCCGGCAGCTGTGCACGATGTCTCGGAGTCCCTGAGATGGGGTAAACCAAGAGAAAAGTAGTACCAAGTTTCGTTGTACTGTAGTGAGACACGGGAGCGAGAGCCTATGGCGATACCAGGTCTAGGGGGGTGAAGTTCCTCTTTCTATCCATAGCACGCGGCCTGGGTTGTATTTTTTTTTTTTTTTTTTTAAATATCCAGAAACCATGAGTTCTTAACCCTTAGGCTCGGTACTATGGATATCGCAACCCTTCGACCTTGATTCCATAATAAATACCGTAAATCTGGGAGAAAATGTGGCTTTTCTGCCTACCCCCGGGAGTGAACCCAGACCACAAGGAGTTCATCACCCGGTCGTCGTGAAGTCAGGTTTATCCAACTACGTTAGCGGGCCGGGGTTGTATTGTCAAAGCTTATCTGTTGCCCACGATCCCCTCTCTCGGCCTGCATTATTAAACACTAAAATAAAGATGACAGTAATCAGTTTGGAACAAAGAATGCCGCAGAAGCTGCTGGTCAGGACAGCAGTGCTCTGTAATTCTTCTGTTAGCCCATCCTGAGCCTTCTCTTTATTATTCTGTGCCGTCTTGACAGTGAAGTTTTGCTGTAGTGTACCGCTGTCTTTGGGTGAGGTGAGCTCACGGTATCTTCTGTTGCCACTCTTACCTCTATGCGGAAACCACGAGGTTAGTTGCGTATCCTTTACAGGACGTTGCACAACCAACCCCAACAGCCCCTGACTGTTGTGTGGTTTTTCTAGGCAAATTTACGTCCAGTATTTTGCCATTGCTGGGATCGAACCCGGCATCCCGAAGCGTTCGCATCGAATGAGTCACAGGGCTGACAGAAACCACGAGAATTTATCAAAATAAACCACTGGCACAGAATTAACTCTAGGAGTACCATGACACCATTAAACACATTCACCAACATTTAAGCCACCCAGTCACACATTATAATTACCTGGTTATTTACGAATTATAATAATTATTATTTTGTTTTGTTCACCACCTGTAAGCTCGGGCGGAAAGTTCTGGTTGTTCGTCCGTCTGGACCTTGGTTTTGTGTCAGGGCTTGAGTTGTGCCTGTATATCCGTTTTACTCTCTTATTTGTGTGCAGTTGTTTGTTCCTTGCCGCTCGGGCAGATGCATTACTGACTTCGAAGAAAGTCTCCAGTTAACTGACTCCTAGGACATGCTTGTTGGGGAGGCAGTGGGTCTGTTATTGTTTTCCCCAAAATGGGGACCCCGAACACACATGGGGAGGAATTATTATAATTATGAAATAAACATAGGCGGGGTGGGGGGGGGGGGGGAGGGGTGTTGGGTTCCACCTGAACCCCCTTACAAACTTAATAGGTTATTAAAAAAATTGACGGCAGCACTCTTCAGTCATCATCATCATCATCACTATGCTGAGTGGCAAATAAATGTAATATTATACTTGAAATAACATACAGTATATAAACAAACGACTTAAAAAGGCAGTTTCTCTGCATGGTGAAAGAGAGCCTCCCAGTCCCCGTTCAGAATTATTAGGGGGTGAGGGAGCGAGTCCACTAAAATATATTTAGAGGGGCTCATGGGGCCTGAGCGCCCAAATTCTGAAATTACTGTTATATAAATGTACATTATTACAACTGCTTTCTCTTTTTCAGTAAACAAAAATGTTATCATGCCTAGCTGTAAGGCACAACACAGCATGCCAACAGCATTTTTTAAGGGGGAGTGCAGAAGAAGAAGGAAACAACATTAGCAACCTGCATTAAAAATGTCTGTGCTTTGGTTTTCAGAATGTCTGCTTGCAGTTTGATGCATAGGGTGGGAGGGAGGGGGGGGGGGGGGTGGGGGGGGGGGGTGGTAAAGTTCAGATTCTGAAGGGGCACAAGACACCAAAACTCTAAATATTGTCAAGCTGAAATTTTTCTTATATCTAGAGCGCACTTAAAAAAGCAAACAGAACTTTCTTTTTCTTTGTTGTCATGAGCTGCAAGCTTCGTTGGAAAGTTCTGACTGTTCATCCACTTGTGCATTTTAGTCTTGTTCCAGAATGTGAGTTTTTCCATGCACATCTATTTGTTTTACAGATCTGGCTTATAAGTCGGCAGATTGTTGATTCGTTGCTTCTAAGGTAGATTTACTCCGACTTTGAAGGAAACCCTTAATTAGTCGACGAATTCCCATGCCTGCTGCCCCAAGCGGGACATCAAAGACCCTCTTCATGCCATTGGCACACTGGGCATATGATGCCAGATTGGGATTTTTGTAGATCTGTCAGCACTCAATGGGTGATGTGTTTGTCAACATCCTGCCAGCCATCTATGCTTCACAGGACATTTCCTGGAATCTCAGGGTTTTTCCCCTCCAAAATCTGCTTGCCGCAGATTCAAACCGAGAACCTTCAGACGAGCGGGCGAGCTTTTAGCCACAGTGATACTGTGGTTCCTGTGACTTCATTTCATATTTAGGGTACATTTTTTTCTCTTACGCTGTACTTCTGTCACAATCAATGCACCATGTGTGATCAGCTATTTATTTGTGTATCAAGTGAACATGTGACAGGCCATTTGTTTTGTTTTTTAAAGTTTGATTTGAACATGCCAGAGAAATCTGGCTACACATTTTGTTTTTTTTTACCTTTGTTCTGAACATGCTAAAGAGGTCTGGCCAGTTATTCTATCTTTTACATTTGGTCTGGACATGCTACCAAAACAAAATTAGCATTGATTTTGATAGTGCTGTGGAGCATTGACTGTTCTTCTTCTTCTTTGCGTTCACCAGCTGTAAACTCTGGTGGAAAGTTCTGGTTGTTCATCCACTTCTGGACTGCAGTCCTGTTCCAGAACCTGAATGTTGTGTGTGCATCCATTTGACAGATCTGACACATTTGTTTGCAGACTGTTGGTTCCTGTGTGGTGTTTTGGGCATGAGATTGTGTACTCATATTTTTATAGATCAAAATGCACTCATTGAATGATGTGGTCAGTATCATGCCAGCTGCATTTACTTCCCATGACATTTCCTGGGACCCACTTTAGGCTGGATTGATCTAGGAGCTAAGGCCATTTCGAAAAAAAATTGCACTCACTGCAGATTTCAACCCAAGACATTCTAGTCGACAGCAACCTGTAATGATAGAACAGTGAATATTTCTTTCCCGGGAAATTTCACCAAGCCATTTTGTTTATGTTTCAGGTAATTTCTTCATAACTGCCAAGCTGTACCTGTGATATAAACCGCCCAGACCTCAAAATGGCCAGTATCCCTGACGAATGGCTGTGGATTGTCATCGTCAGCTTCATCATCTCATTCTTCCTGGCCTTTGGCATCGGAGCTAACGATGTGGCAAACTCATTCGGCACCTCTGTTGGATCAAAAGTGTTAACGCTGTTTAAAGCTTGCATCTTGGCCACGATATTTGAAATCCTTGGTGCTGTTTTAATAGGTAGGTTATCATTTGGCATCTGTGGCTTAGGTGTTGTGAACACGCTTCATAGTTCCAGGGTGCCAGGTTTGGTCCCAGCTGCAGGCGATTTAGTAGCAGAACGCTTTGTGTGGGTTTCGACTGTGGTAGCGAGAGCTGACTGTTCAGGGCCAAATACTGAACATAAAAATAGCCTGGAAAAACCACAGTGGACAATAAATGCTGGGGTTGATTCTGGAACGTGCTGTAAAGGATACGCAACTAACTCTATCATTTTCATATATATATATATATATATATGTTAGTTGCGTATCCTTTACAGGACAATGCAGAACCAACCCCAGCAGCCCCTGGCTGTTGTGTGGTTTTTCTAGGCAAATTTACGACCAGTAGTTTGCCATTGCTTTCTGGATGGTCGGCTTTCTTGATACCATTGTCAAAACCAACGCAAGGCGCATGGCCCGCATCTGGAATTGAATCCGGCATTACGAAGTGTTCGCATCGACTTAGTCACAGAGCCGACATACATACATTCATATATATATATATATATATATATATATATATATATATATATATATATATATATATATATATATATATATATTGTTTTTTGTTTTTTTGAAGCCATCATAAGGGAAATTACATTTCTCAACTTGTCACATTTCACTAATACAGTTATGAGTGGACATATATTTGTTGGTATTTGAAAAGTTGAAATTGCAACTCTTCCCTTTATTCTGTAATTGTGTGTAGGCCATCAATCAGCCCAATCCTTTTTTAATCGGTTCACTCCATGTCCTGCCCATCTTTCCTTTCTTAAAAAAAAAGAAGAGGAATAATAATGTTTTGTAGGATCTGTAACTAGTTGAAGAGTATTTTTTTTTAATAACACAGTCATGAGATAGGGGTTTTTGTTTTCCACAAGCTACATGGTCTCAAGGACTTTTATTGTCATGATCACTTTAACTTTGTTTAAAAAATCACACTATCTGGGGACTTACCTCCCATGAATCACAGTAAGGTGGTCTAATTTTTACATGAATCACACAGTTATAAAGTCTTGAAGAGTTATTATAAATCACAGTCTCTCTCTCTCTCTCTCTCTCTCTCTCTCTCTCTCTCTCTCTCTCTCTCTCTCTCTCTCTCTCTCTCTCTCTCTCTCTCTCTCTCTCTCTCTCTCTCTCTCCCCCTCCCTCGCTTCCTCCCTCTTCTGATAGAAGACCTCTTAATTTTGTATCTGGTCTTGCTAATCACACTTGCCATCACCACAGGCTGTGATTTCCACACCTGCTTATAGCAGAGTCTAACACAATCATCGTCTGGAAAGACGGAAAGGTGCCAACTAAGGACTGTTCCTGCTGCAGCACAGCAGCTCTAACTCATTTTGCTGTACATTTCTTAGGAACATCATGTTACAGGCTGGATAGTTTCTTCTTCTTCTTAGCATTCACTGACAGTAAATTCGGGTGGAAAGTTGTGGTTGTTCACCCACTTTTGGACTTTGGTCTTGTTCCAGAACTTGAATTTTGCACACAGACCCATGTTAAACTTGTGGCTTATTTGTATGCAGACTGTTGGTTCCTTTCCTGTCAGGCAGATACACTCTGACTTGGAAGGAAACTTTTGTAATGATTTTCCTTTCAGAACATGCTTGTCAGGGAGGCAGTGGTTCCATTCTTGTTTCCCCTAGAATGAGGCTGCAGAGCCTACACAGGCAGGATAGTTTAACATCCCATCATTGAATTCAATTCCACTTTTAGTTGCACACAATAATAGAGCACCATGTAGCATAGGCATTGAAACAACAATCAACTGTTCAACCCATCTGGGTTATATTTGGGATGTGTAGCTATTGTTTCTGTTTTCTTTTTGGATATTTATGCTTGTAAATTAAGTAAAGTAAAAGTAAAGGAAACTTTGCCATGCCTTCAGATGTATTAGGCATATAGGGCACAGACCTAGATTGTATAGACCAATCAGCACTTGGGGCGTGATGTAGTGAACATCATGCTGGCCACGTTTACTTCCCAGGACTTTACCTGGTACCCATTTAAGGCTGGGTCGACCTGGAAGCCAAAGTAATTTTTGAAAAACATCAGACTTTGTCAAGACCTGAACCAACCTTCGGATCCGCAGGCGAGCTCCTAGCTGCAACACCACTGTGGCTCTCGCTTGTGAATTATTTGTGTTATTTAATATTGCATAGATTATGTTAAAATTGTAACAGATTATTTAAGTAAAGATTGTTAAGTTTTATATTTATTGAGTGTACTTTTTAAATAACTGATAATCATACTGTGTAATCTATGTTTGGGAATTTTTTTAAATGACCTGGGATACTTTTATTCTGCCTTAATCTATATGAACATCTCATATGCCAACCTTTATTGAACATCTCATATGCCAACCTTTATTGAACATCTCATATGCCAACCTTTATTGAACATCTCATATGCCAACCTTTATTGAACATCTCATATGCCAACCTTTATTGAACATCTCATATGCCAACCTTTATTGAACATCTCATATGCCAACCTTTATTGAACATCTTGTATGCGAACCTTTATTGAACATCTCATATGCCAACCTTTATTGAACATCTCAAATGCAAACCTTTATTAAACATCTCATTTGTGAACCTTTATTGAACATATCATATGCAAACCTTTATTGAACATATCATTTGCAAACCTTTATTGAACATCTCATATGCCAACCTTTATGGAACATCTCAAATGCAAACCTTTATTAAACATCTCATTTGTGAACCTTTATTGAACATCTCATATGCAAACCTTTATTGAACATATCATTTGCAAACCTTTATTGAACATCTCATATGCCAACCTTCATTGAGCATCTCATATTCCAACCTTTATTGAACATCTCATATGCCAACTTTATTGAACATCTTATGTGCCAGCCTTTATTGAACATCTCATATGCCAACTTTATTGAACATCTCATATGCCAACCTTTATTGAACATCTCATTTGCAAACCTTTATTTAACATGTCATATGCCAACCTTTATTGAACATCTCATTTGCAAACCTTTATTGAACATCTCATATGCCAACCTTTTTCGAACATCTCATATGCCAACCTTTATTGAACATTTCATATGCCAACCTTTATTTAACATCTCATATGCATACCTTTATTGGACATCTCATATGCAAACCTTTATTGAACATCTTATATGCAAACCTTTATTGAACATCTCATATGTCAACCTTTATTGAACATCTCATTTGCCAGCCTTTATTGAACATCACATGCCAGCTTTCATTGTTATGATGTACTGTTTAATTCTTTCCTGATACTCTAGAACAGTCTATACTCAGTATGTTTTCTATTGTCATAAACTTATTGCAGCGGGAAGTCCTTTTGAGTTCATATTTTTTGTCAGGAATTAAAATATTAAGCATATTTTTGTGCAATAATTAAAATATGATGACTTGTGTGATGTTTTGACCCAAATCTGTTGTATACAATATTCTTCAGTGGGTAGATGCGTCTTTATGAAACGATTGTTGTTCATTGTTCAGGGTATCGAGTATCTGACACCATACGTAAAGGCATCATCGATGTGAACCCGTACAATAACTCTGAGACATTACTGCTGATGGGAAATCTCTCAGCCTTGACAGGTAACAAATGTTTTACTGTGATTGGATTATATTCTCTTTCTTTATTGTTGGAGCAGATCAGTTGGGATCTTTCTTGTGCTGTGTTATTTTTGTTTTGTTTTCTGGTTTAAATTGTTATTTAAAGAGTTTATGTGTGTGTGTGTGTGTGTGTGTGGTGTTTATGGCTGTCTTATATTTTTGTTTTAGCAGTTAAGTAAATATCTTTGTTATGTTCTAGTTGCCATTTGTGAGCAGTCAAGTAAATATCTTGGCTATCCTTCGATTAATGGGCACTAAAGATGGCGGCGGAAAATTATCCGTTTGAGCCGCAGTCACGTATTGATTGCGCGCTTCCGGCTACTTAATGTGCGCTTTTCCGGCGACTATGGCTACAGCCACGTGGCTCCCACGCCGCTCACGTGGCGTGGATTAGGGCTAAACTAGATGGCTAGGACTCACGAGCAAAGCTGCAGGAGATGCGGAAGCTGCTGCTCGTGAGTCCTAGCCATCTAGTTTAGCCCCAATCCACGCGGCGTGAGCGGCGTGGGGGCCATGTGGCAGTAGCAGTTGTTGGCGAAAAACCGCCGGAAGACCACAAATTAAGTAGCCGGAAGCATGCAATTGACACATGACTGCGGCTCGAATGGATAATTTTCCGCCGCAATCTTTAGTACCCGTTAATCGAAGGATAGCCAATATCTTTGTTATGTTCTAGTTGCCATGTGTGAGCAGTTGAGTAAATATCTTTGCTATGTTTGAGCAGTAAAGTAAATATCTTTGTTTTGTTCTAGTTGCCATGTTTGAGCAGTTAAGTAAATATTTTTATGTTCTAGTTGCCATTTTTGAGCGTTATTAATTGGCACCTTTCTGTCTTTCCAGATGATAGTGTAAGATAGTTCTAGTTGCCCTGTTTGAGTAGTCAGGTTCCTTTGTGGGTTCCAGGTTTTTGTTTTTGTTTTTAGGGGGAAAAAGAATAGACCCACTGCTCTCTAATTTTTGTAGTCCCAGAGAACGCAAGACACGTTGTTTAGTTGTTTCTTTTATATCTAAAATCACTCAGTGCTTTCCTTACTTTTCACATGTTGTCAGAGCATATTAGGAAAATCTAGCTTCTCTAGTGGGTGCTTCCAATGTGTGCAGCCAGATTGAATGTAATGCACTCATGTAGGTAACCATCACTTCCTAGGGACCATGGAGTTGCTGGTTTTGGGAACGTTTGCTATTAAGCGATGCTGGAGTTACAGGTCTGGGCATTTTGAATTGGAGCACAGGCTGTTGCCCAGGCAGCAGGTACCCCTTCTCTTCTTTGCTGGTAATACCTAGGGAAGGGCAAGTGCCAGTACAGCTTGGCACTGAAGATGTTGCAGGAGCTGACAGAGCAGCAGTGTAAACACTTTAAAACCACTTTAGGGATTCCAGCTCTGGATTTTTCCTCTGGGTTTACTCCTAAAGCGCCTTCCCTGAATCAGGTATTACCACAAGGCTGTGAAGGTTTGAGAGTTTTCCTTCTCCTGTTGGTTTGTTTGTTTTAGTATCCAGAAGCCATGAGTTGTTAACCCTTAGGCTCAGTATTATGGATATTGGCCTTGAATCCATCGTAAATACCGTAAATCTGGGAGAAATGTGGCTTTTCTGCCTACCCCCCGGAGTGAACCCGGACTACAAGGAGTTTGTCACCCGGTCACCGCGCAATCCGGTTTAGCCAACTACGCTTTCCTTCTCCTAGATGAGCTGCACTCCTGTGCTGATGAGCCTCATAATGCACTCTTGATAGTGTCTATTCACTGAGTCAGTCAGGTGCTGTCCCCGTAGTGAAAGTTGGCTGCAGTGAATCTCCAACACGTTCTGTCTTTTGTCCTGTTTGTATAGTCTCTCAGACTGCTGCTACCCGTCCATCTCTTGATGTGGTCCTCCCACTTGTATTGTTGCCCACCTCTTGCTCTCTTGCTTTCGAGCTTTCCCTACAGTATGGAATTTAAAAGTGTGCGTGTCTTTTAATGTGGCCAAAGTAGTTTAATTGTCCTTTTTTAATTTTATTTATTTGAGTAATTCTCTTTTCATTGTAGCCTTTCCAGAACCTCTGTATTGGACTGTTTTTGCCTCCATGAAATACGACCTATTCTTCTGTATACCCACATTTCTGGAGACTCAATTCGATTTTCTAGCTGCTTGTTCATTGTGCAAGTTTCTGCACCATATAGCAGGACTCAGTAACTCTGTATACATAACATTTGACAATCTGCAATGGTGGCTATGACCTACTTCAGCAATTCTGGGACTGCAATAAATTTTTAAAAAATGTCTAATAACTGCCTTTATAATATTACTTTTGCAGTGTAGGCAGGGGGGTCTTTGAGCATGAGGATTTACAGCCTCATGGCTAGTGCTGTCACCACGACTGTGCAGGTGGGGATTTTATTTTGCCCCTGAAAATAAAATCCGCAGCCTTACCAAGGATTCGAACCCGTGTCTCCTGCTTGAGAGCTCAGCGTTCTGATCGTTTGGCCAGCCGCTCCTCTTCTGGGACTGAAAGAGTTAAAAATGTAAAACGCAAGTTATAAAAGTTTACTATTGAAGGATTTGCTTAAATCAGATGTGCTAGGTTGAAAAGTGCAGATATCGCAGTCTAGCTGTAAACCACAACACAACATCCAAACTGCCCTTTTACGGGCAAATGCAGAAGAAGAAGAAGAAGAAAAAGAATAGAAGTTAGGTAAGGATATTTACTGTTTGCTTTATGATGTTCTTGTTTTATTGTCTGCCAAATAATACCAGTCTCTTATAGATTTATGTGAAGTTCTCTATTATTGCTTATCTCATCCATTAACTCCTTGTCCACTTTCTCTTTTATCACTTTGGGTTTTGAGGAAGATATCATATTCTGCTTCTTGCTCCTCTGGTAGCCTCGACCATAGACTCATTGTGCTGTTGGAGTTTCTCTGATGTTATTTTTCCATATTGTTCTTGGTCTACCTTCTACTCTATATCCTTATTCTCTTTTGGTGTATACCTTGTAAAGTATGGTGTCAGAAGGCATTCTTTCTAAATGGACTAACATGTAGTTGGCTGTTTTTGTACATAATTTAGAATTCATTCTCTGACAACTCTTTTTTTAAGCTAGTAACTACTAACTCGTAATAGTGTACACATAAGCGTAATATTGTATGTTGTTTCAACGACAGGTTCCTGTATATGGCTGTTCTTAGCAACATTCCTTAGTCTTCCAGTATCAGCCACACACAGTATTGTTGGAGCTACTATAGGATTCAGCTTGGTGGCCAAAGGTGCTGATGGTGTCAACTGGGCGAAACTGGGACTTATTGGTAAATATTTTTTTTGTTATGACAGTTCAGTGGCTTCTTTTTTTTTTTTTTCTCTACTTTAAAGTATTCAGGAAGGTAAGATATGGCAGATATCTAAGGATCACATAATACCACATCGCAATATATAAAACAATATGTATACAGCGGTAACAGAGCCAGAGGTCGACCACTCAAAATATCGACCGCACAAATATCAGAGACACTCAGAAGTGCTATATACGAAGCGAACAGAAGGGCCCATTCCAGAGATCTGCTCTAACCCTGATGACGTGAGACATTCCAGGAGTAGAGACAAGAAGAAGAATATATAAAACACTGATAAGATCAGTTATCTAATATGGTAGACAGATGGCTTTCTTTCAACCGTTCTCATTTCCTTAGTCCATTTGTTTCTCATTCAAGTGAATTTTTGGTGATTCTCTGCTTACTCCTTCTTAGTATGCACTCAAAATATAGACATCTGCTTTGTCTTATAACTATTGTTACCAGTGTTTGTCTAGACATTTCTTTTATTTCTTCATTCTTATTCAGATTGTCCCATTTATTGTTCACCTGTATCTCTCAGCCTTTTGTTTCTGAATACTGTTAGCTTTCATTTCATGTGTTTAGTAGTTCTCCAGCTGTCACTGGATTATGTTAAAACTGAAATAACTTAATTAAGTATATGTTTTAGTGTATGGTTTTATAACTTTATAATTTAGAGCTCAGTATTTTGTTCGGGCTTTTAATATCACTTCTGTTGCCTTGCTGATGCATATCATGGTATCATAGTGGGGTCTGAGTTGGGAACTGACATCACAGAACTTGGGATATTTTAACATGCACTCTGTCCCCATCTTCAGCAGCTAGTGCAAAGTTCAAATTCCGATGGTAGCAGTATCAGTCTGACTGTGTGTATGTCTTGCCATTCCTCTGAATGTCAGGTGTTGGTCACTCTTTGCTGCACTATTTTCTCCAGACTGATGATCTGTTTATGCTTCCATATATAGTAAAGTAAGTAGAGGTCCCTTTTCCACACCTTTAGGCGTATAGGGCATATAGTGCTAGACCTATATTTGTATAGACCACTCAGCACAAGATGGGTGATGAGATCAGCAATCACTCAGGCCGTCTTTACTTCCTGAGACTGCACCCGGTACCCACACAAGGCTGGGTCACCCCGGGAGTCAAGATAATTTTTGTGTGTGAAAAAGTCCAACTCCGCCAGGGAGCAAACCCACTACCTTCCGATCCGCACGCAAGCGTTTAGTTGCTACGCCACGGCGACTCCCCTATATATGATGAAATAATGTTAGCCTTATGTTATTATTTGAACCCGTTGATGCTCAGAGGTGTCTTAAATTAGGTAACAAATATTTATGATATAATGAATGGCAGTAATGCCTGACGAAGACTGAAAGAGTTAAGCAGTAAATGATAGATTAAATGGAGGTTTGAATATTTTTTGGATTAATCAGTGCTTGTGTATTGCCCCTGACAGTTGCTTCCTGGTTCATCTCTCCTGTGATGGCTGGATCTATTTCTGTGGCACTGTTTTGGTTTATCCGGAAACTAGTGCTCAGTAAAGTAAGTCTGTTGATGTTTTCTTTTAATTGTTTGTTTTAGAGTTTAACAAAATGATGCTGATGACCAAAACAGTTACTGATAAAGTACGAACAATCATCAAGTGATGGCTGCGCAGAAAAGAGAGAATGAAATGCTTTGATAGAATTGCTAATTTCTAGCTTTGGAAGAGAACTAAGCACATTCAGGTTAGTCAAGAGAGGAGGAAAAGATGGTGGCCTTGGGAAGGACACACTGGAAAACCTAATAATAATATAACTACCATGTCTTAGCACTGGATTAACAAGATCAAAGGAATAAAGGCAAGCCACCCCCTCCCCTTCCTTCGTTCTCCCCCCATCAAAAGAAAAGAAAAAAAGATGTAGAGAGTGAAGTTAAAAAGATGAGGTCCCCGTTTGGGTTCTGGGGTCCTATTATAGTGAAAATAAGAACAGACCCACTGCCTACCCAAAAGCATGTCTTAAGAGTCAACTAATTGGGAGCTTCCTTTGAAGTCGGAGTACATCTGCCTGAGAGGCAAGGAACCAACAGTCTGCATAAAATTCAGTCAGATGTGTCAAATTAATGCACACCCAACACTCGTTCTGGAACAGGACTGCAGTCCAGAAGTGGACGAACAACTAGAACTTTCCGCCGGAGTTTACAGCTGGTGAACATGATGAAAAAAAAAATGAGGGAGGACTTGGGGGTGAGCTGCATCAGGTGGCAAAGGGTAGAGCGACTTGGCATGAATTGGTTGTGAGCCTAGGCCCCATTGAGGAATAGAGAGTAGAAAAAGAAGAAGAAAACCTGATACCATAGTGGCAGTATGTGCAGTGGGGTTGTTGTTACCTTTCTTTATATTGACAAATCCTAGAATATGCTTGAATGCTTGGTTTCAGGAGGAGTGTTCAGGGTTAGGCCGGTATGGAGTTATTAGATATTCCTGGCACATGAAAATACATGAGGCAAAAGTTTCACAAGGAACAGAGAATCACTCTCTTGAGATAATACTGGAGTGGTATTCATCAACAGATCTGCAATATGATGTTGATGGTGGGTACAAGAATGCTGTTTGCTATATTTATATTGTCATTTTACAATACCATACCAATATCTTAGTCATTTCTGTTATAAAAATGTAAGTAAAAATAAGCAAAGGACCATTTTTATGCCAGTGATGCACCAGGTATATGATTATAGACTCATATTTTTATAGCCAAATGGACATTGGATGAGTGATGTGGTCAGCTTCCAAGAACAATACCTGCTACCCATTTTAGGTTGGGTGAACCTGAGAGTGAGTTAAGGTCATTTTGAAAGAAAAAATCTGCCTCCGTGCAGATTTGAAATAAATTCCTTTGGGCCAGTAAGTGAGCACCTATCCAGTACCTTACCAGTAGCTTCATCTGTGTAATGATTCCTTCTCAACTTTATCTACAGGCCAAACCGCTAGAACCAGGCTTGAAGCTACTGCCCTTGTTCTATGGGATCACCATACTTATTAATGCAATCTCTGTGTTCCTGGATGGATCAGAGTGTGAGTACTGGATGTTTTATCTTTCAGCAGATTTAAAACTAACCTGCAACCAAATGTAAACTAACAGTAGTTGCCTGAAAAAGGCTAATTATCATCATCATCATTATGTTGTACCATTTGGTAGGGCTTTGTTCAGCTCCTGTCAGAACTCATAGTCTAGGGTTCGACTGTCAGTTAGCTAACAAAGTAAATGTCCACGGGGCAACCAAATATGTAAACTAACAGTAGTTGCCTGAAAAAGGCTAATTATCATCATCATCATCATGTTGTATTATTAGGTAGGGCTTTGTTCGACTCCTGTCAGAACTCATCGTCTAGGGTTCGACTGTCAGTTAGCTAACAGAGTAAAGGTCCACAGGGCACAACCACAAATCTTACTTACAACAGACTTTAGGATTTATGTTCCACATCCTATTTAGTTAACATGAAACACATGAGATGATCAGTTAGTAGTGTCCATTGACTACTTATGTTTTGGTAAACTGATGGCACAACAACATACTCACCTATACACACAGTCTTCTCCTTTCAAGACTGAATCTAGCATACTAACAGCTTGCAGGCCTGGCAAGATCTTCTTCATTGAAGGTTATTATAGAATACCTCTGTCTTAAAAAGGGATTGTGTACTTAGTTGAGGGTGCCATGCACCACAAGAGCAGCTCATATTACCTACAGGGACACAGAAGTCTGGATGACCGCATGCATACAGCCTGACAGCCTGGATCACCGCATGCATACAGCCTGACAGCCTGGATCACCGCATGCATACAGCCTGACAGCCTGGATCACCGCATGCATACAGCCTGACAGCCTGGATCACCGCATGCATACAGCCTGACAGCCTGGATCACCGCATGCATACAGCCTGACAGCCTGGATCACCGCATGCATACAGCCTGACAGCCTGGATCACCGCATGCATACAGCCTGACAGCCTGGATCACCGCATGCATACAGCCTGACAGCCTGGATCACCGCATGCATACAGCCTGACAGCGCTATGGGTCCATCCATCGCATAACTGTGTACGGCTTACCTCTCGTCCCTGTCGACACCTTTACTGGATTCGGCACAATGGAAGATGTCTACCAGCTTACCCTGGACTTCCAGCATCTGATCACACAACTCAACAACTCTCTTACCTCGAACTCACACACAGATCTCACAACTAAGCAACTCTCTTACCTCTAACTCACACACAGATCACACAACTCAACAACTCTCTTACCTTGAACTCACACACAGATCACACAACTCAACAACTCTCTTACCCCGAACTCACACACAGATCACACAACTCAACAGCTCTCTTACCTCGAACTCACACACAGATCTCACAACTCAACAACTCTCTTACATCGAACTCACACACAGATCTCACAACTCAACAACTCTCTTACCTCGAACTCACACACAGATCTCACATCTCAACAACTCTCTTACCTCGAACTCACACACAAATCACACAACTCAACAGCTCTCTTACCTCGAACTCACACACAGATCTCACACTCAACTCTCTTACCTCGAACTCACACACAGATCACACAACTCAACAACTCTCTTACCTCGAACTCACACACAGATCTCACAACTCAACAACTCTCTTACCTCGAACTCACACACAGATCACACAACTCAACAGCTCTCTTACCTTGAACTCACACACAGATCTCACAACTCAACAACTCTCTTACCTCGAACTCACACACAGATCACACAACTCAACAACTCTCTTACCTCAAACTCACACACAGATCTCACAACTCAACAACTCTCTTACCTCGAACTCACACACAGATATCACAACTCAACAACTCTCTTACCTCGAACTCACACACATATCTAACAAGCTGTATGTTCTACATTTTCCAGCAAGTCTATTACTTGTGGCAAACACTTCCCAATAATATGTCTGGTGTGACAGCTTTCAATTCACGAGATGTCTGAGCATGTCTGTTTGTTGCAAGTGGCAAACACTTCCCAATAATATGACTGGTGTGACAGCTTCCTGTCTATGAGATCTCTGCTTTGCCACTTACTCATCGTGCCTTGTATACTGATAACCACTCACTCCAACCTCGCCCTTTCTATTCACCAACATTCATGTGAACACCAGTATACCCCTGCTAGTGACTCCCAACAGGCCTGCAGTGTAGCCCCCCATTCTGTTGTGTCCCATGAAATCCTGTCATAATCATGGATAGAATACAGTCCAGCAAAACTTTAGCCTTTCTCAGCAGTGTTCGTTTAAGGGTTATTTTACAGGTTTCCATAGCGTCACTGTTTTCACAGGGTGTTGATAGCCGGCCTCAGGCCCATCCTTTTTCATCTGAACTTTTTATCAGCAGTGGCTATTGTAAGTGGAATGTCTTCATCTTTCTTCTTCACGTTCGCCAGCTGTAAACTCTGGTAGGAAATTCTGGTTGTTCGTCCACTTCTGAACTTTAGTCTTGTTCCAGAACCTGAATGTTGGTTGTGTGCACATCTGTTTTACACATCTGGCTTATTTGTTTGCAGATTGTTGGTTCCTTGTCTCTCAGGCAGATGCACTCCGACTTCAAAGGAAGCCCCCCCCCCCCCCCCCCCCCCCCCCCCCCCCCACCCCTTTTCCCATTTGTCGACTCTTACGACATTCTTGTTGGGGAGGCAGTAGGTCTATTCTTGTTTTCCCCACAATGGGGCTATGGAACACACACGGGGATAAGAAGAATATAATACACAGCTATAAAAAAAGAAACAAAATAGTCTTTTTGTCTATATGATGAACAGAAAGATATTGAGAACTTAAGAAGATGAGCAGCGATGACACAGATGCAGGAAGAGAGAAGGGAAGCTGGATGGTCTGAAATGGTGGCACAATAGAGAGCCACAGAAATGCAGAGGCAAACGTGTTTGCTTGCTGTTCTAGTGGTCCTGTGCTCAAATCCCCATCTTGGCAGATCAAAAAAATTACTCTCAGCTCCTAGGTTGGGCCAGCCTAAAATGGATACCTGGAAATATGTGAAATAAAGTTTGTTGGCGGGGTATTGACATCACCCATGGAATGAGGGCTAGCTTAAAATATATATGGGGTTAGCACCATTTACCCATGGAAGTCATGGTAGGGTAGTGGCTAGACACTCACATGCAGGTCCGAAGTTCTGGGTTCATAACCACATTGTCCCATTGGGGGTTTCCAGGCTCTCATTGTGGGAAAAACCAGAACAGACCCACTGTCTCCCTAGAAAGCATGTTGTAAGAGTCAGCTAAACTTGGTACTCCCTTTGAAGTTGGAGTGCAACTGCCTGAGAGGCCAGGAACCAACAGTCAGCATACAAATAAGGCAGATCTGTAAAAACAGATGTGCACACAACCCTCAGGTTCTAGAATGAGACTAGTTCATAGATGGACAACTAACCAGAACTTTTTGTTGGAGTTTACAGCTGGTAAAGCAAAGAAGAAGAATCTACATTGATTTAAAAGATTTGTTTGTTTGTTTGTTGTATTTTAAATTGAGTTTGGCTTCAAGTTAATTATTTAAAAAAAAAAAAAGCTTAAGGACTCTTTTCCATGCCTTTGGGCATTTAGGGCATATAGGGCTAGACCTATATTTTATAGACCTATATTTTATATACTATTCGGCACAAGATGGGTGATGTGGTCAGCCTAACATAAAATAGGCACCAGCTATTGTCTTGGGAAGTAAAGGTGGCTGGCACAATTTTCTACACATTTCTCACTGAAGGTCATTTAATCTATAACAAAATAAGTCTGGCCTCATATTTCCCATGTGGCACTGGGGTGAAAAGTGTCCTTCACCTACCTTTGCATTTTTAACCATACATTTGTTGTTGCTTATACACATAGAAATGAATCCTCTGCATTTTATTTAAATGCTGATGATAGTGAATGGTGCTTCAAAAATTTATTTTGGTAATTAGAGTTTTAATTTCTGCATTACAATATTTAATTTTTTTGTTACTGAAACATTTGTTACATTCAGTACTAGTTTTACAAATTTCCCATTTCCACTTTTGTGTGAGTTTTTTTAAAAACTTGCTGCTGGAGATGAGGACCGAGCACTTATGGGAGTGTCCAGAGTGCTGTGATGTCAGTTCTTAATTCAACATTCAACATTCAACCTTACCCAAAAAATTATTTTTTAGATTCACCTTTTTAAAGTTAAAAAAAAATTAAGAACTTTACTATTTTGCTCTGCGACTTAGAGGTTATTGAATCATTACACAATCTAAACCTCTATATACCACGGTTCGATTCATGTGGCAGCCACTTCATAAAAAGAATGCTCTTATCACTTTTTAAATGGTGCAAGAGTTGCACTGTGGAAAAAATTACGCATCACATGCCCACAAACAGCAGTAAATGTACAGCAGCTGACCTCCAGTGGGGAGGTTGGCTCACCCCAACAAAACAACAAATTTCCTGTAAAAATATTAATAAATAACTTGTTACTATCTTCCAGTGCTGCAGTTTAACAAGATTCCACTGTATGGGACTTTTATTCTCTCCTTTGGCCTGGCTTTGTTGACTGCACTAGGGATTAGATTCCTTGTTGTGCCTTGGATGAGGAAGAGAATCGAAGGTAAATGGTATATTTTTTAGGGCTTAGATTTCAGGTTGTCTGTTCCAGGTGTCTTTGTCCTCACTGTCTGTGTCCAGGGTGTCTTTGTCCGGAGTGTCCTTGTCAACGGTGTCTGTGTCCAGAGTGTCTTTGTCCAGGGTGTCTTTGTCTGGAGTGTCCTTGTCAATGGTGTCTGTGTCCAGGGTGTCTTTGATATTGTAAGATGACTGATGTTGGTGAGCCCCTGCCTCATCCAATGGGTACCATACCTTCCTTTACCATTCTTTTTACACAGCTGTGATGTTTTATGTGACCAGAGAGCTTTAGTTTCTCAGATATTATACTGCTTATAAGCCAGTTTTCTGTGATGCTTTATTTTGTAGAATTTTCTTGTCCTCTTGATTCAGCTGTTTTTAAAGACATATTTAGTAACAATTAATCATCATATTCATCATCTTCACCTTCTTCTCCTCCTCCTCCTCCACCTCCTACTCCTTCTCCTCCTACCCCCCCCCCACCCCACCCCTATCTTGCTCCTCCCTCTCCTCCTCCTCTTCTTCTTCTTCTTCTTCTTCTTCTTCTTCTTCTTCTTCTTCTTCTTCTTCTTCTTCTTCTTCTTCTTCTTCTTCTTCTGGGTTTGCCTTAGTTGGCACATTGTGTTGTGGTTTACAGCTAGGATGCAATAACGCCTTTTGGTTTAACAAATCCAGTTCAAGCAGACCCCTGGCTAGTTGCCTTTTATGATAAGCTGGTTAAACGGAATTGGGTTTATCCCCCTCCCCCCCCCCCCCCTTTTTTTTTCCTTTCCCAAAAGTTGGCCTCCAAACCTACATGTGGAACATCTATGTTCAAAAGCCTTAGTCTTCTTTTTGAATGTTTGAGATAAGGAAAATGAAATTAAGAGACACCGAACAGTAATGGAAGGAAAAACAAGAGATAACGTAACACAGAAACAGAGGGTTTGGAAACAGATGTTTTAGTGCCTAGTGCTTCATTGAAGGGTAACAGAAGAGCTGACATAATGCTCTGGCTATATGCTTGCCAGTAGACCTGATTATTTTGGGGCTGAATCTACTTTAAGACAGATATATTTTTTTTTAAATCTCTGTACGTAAGTGCTTAAGCAGTTTGCCTTGCACACTCTGAAGATCATAAGTTCATTTCATGGGTTACATTGTCGGGTTAATTCTTTTTATAGAGGTTTCTGGGAATCCTTGCTGGAGCTCTGGAGCTTGTATTTTATGTCATGTTTTCAGCCACATGCTGTCTGTTTTGTGGAGAGAGACCACACCATATGGGATAAAAGCTAGTGCAATGAAGTAGATTTTGACTTAAACCTTTTTTTTTTATTTGTATTTTTCAACTTTTAGCCTAAAACAGCTTTTATTTCATTGCTGGAAGCAGCTGGTGTGTTGTGTTAGGTTTGTGTGTGTGTTGCAAGAAGCAGCTGGTGTGTTGTGTTAGGTTTGTGTGTGTGTTGCAAGAAGCAGCTGGTGTGTTGTGTTAGGTTTGTGTGTGTGTTGCCTGAAGCAGCTGGTGTGTTGTGGTAGGTTTCTGTCTCTGTTGGACCAGGAGTGTTGCTAATTGCGACAGACAACAATGAATCCTCACAGCCGCTGCTGTCAAGTGGTGTTAGCAAAACACAATTTTTAATAGAGTTATGCTGTTGGACTACCAATTGGTGATGTGCTGTTCATGTTTGTCTTTCAGCAAAAGAAATGGTAGAGAAGCTGGAGGAGAATGGGAAACCATGCGTGAATTTGAACCAAGAGATTGAAGTAGAGGCCAAACCCAAGCCCAAGGTCACAGATACTAGTAAGTTTTTGTGTCCTTGTTTTGCAGTTCTGATGGGAGGCGATCAGTGTTGGCACATCTGGTGACTGCTTTGTGCATTTACTATGGATGTGTGAGCTTCAAAATTTAGCTTGGTCGAATCTGTTTTTTAATTTTTAAAATGTTTTTTTTAAAACTAGTTTTCAAACTGTTCAGTGAAGAGCATTTTGAATGACTTCACCTGGCACAGAAAAGGAGTAGTTATAGGATGACTAGTTTAGCATGAAGGAACCTTAACTCTGTGTAGACTATTCGCCAGTTAAATGGCGTTGGAATTTATCCCTATCAGACTTTTGACCAGTATGGTGGCTCTTTATAGAGACACTCTAATCTTGTTCCATTTGCGGGGAAAACGAATTTGTATACATGTTTATACAAATTCGTTTTTGAAAACTAGGATTAGTGACAGGAAGTACTTTCATTTTCAACAATCGGCATGGTGTTTGCTTCACTTTCTGATTTTTTTTAACAAATTATTGAGAAGTGATAAAATTTTTCACATGATTTTTTTTTCTATACCAAATGATAAGGGAAAAGGTTTAGAACTGTTCACAATGCTCTGTCATTGAATCTCAACCAGATAGTGAAATAGTCTTGATATTATGATTGATAATGCGTCAAACCTGTATCGATAAATAGGTTAGGATAAAGATAGAACAAAATATTTCAATCCGATCATCTCTGTTTTGGGATCAGCTGTTTTCACAATTTCGGTTTTTGTAAACTCTAACATGTCATATAAACAATGGTAATAACATCCAAAATATTTAAATTAATTGTTTCAAATAAAGACTAGCTGATACATAATTGAACAGAGAAGGCATGAGATTTACTGAACAAGTAAAAAATAAGGTAATCTTACAAATTTTTGCGTAAATAATCTTCATAACAGAACATCCTTGAAAGTTGTCTGATTTTAATAATATTTTGTTGTAATACTGTCATTTAAATAGTTTAGATTTATTCTGCACTTATTTCTATTTATTTTGATATATTATCTGTCCCTATAAAACCTATACTTTTTCTTCAGGAAGGTTTTAGCAATGTCATGTTGCAGCTAATTTAAAAATAAAAAAATAAAAAAAAATAAAAAATTCTGTGTAAACCCCAGAAAAAATTTGGTCCTGAAAGAGTTAACTTACTAACCAAATGAAAGTTGACTTGTTTGCCATGAAGTTGAAACCTCAATTAACTAACTAAAGGATGATTCATTTTCAGTGAAGTTGTAACCTTGAGTAACTAACCAAAGGTTGACTCATTCTCCATGAAGTTGGAACCTTGAATAACCAAAGGTTGACTCATTCTCCATGAAGTTGGAACCTTGAATAACTAACTAGAGGTTGACTCATTTTCAGTGAAGTTGGAATCTTGACTAACCAACTAAGGATAATGTGTTGCCTATAACGACTGTAACAACCAGAAATAGACGTCAGCTAAATGATGTATATTTCCACAAAGGAGACACAAACAATGGATTGCCCAGTTTATTACTTGACTTATTTGGCATGACTGAGGGAGGTGGCGGGAGCTGTTCAAACAGTCAGCAGTGACTGGTGACCCAACAACTTGCTGTGTTGTTGGTGATATTTTGTTGTATTTCATAAGGTCACAGTAACAATAAAATACAAGGAAGCAAATAAAAGAATTCTTCTAACTGAAATACAAAATCAACTGTACTTTGCGTCTGATGGGTTGCAGCGAAATATGCCAGGCAGTAAGTTGTGTACTCTATTATTTGTGTCCTGTTTGCTCATATTTACAATGGGGAAACATTGTTTTAAACCGTGAATGCATTTGTTTACAATATAGACAAGAATAATGTCTGCACAACAGAGCTTTCCAAAATGTTTTTGATGGAGACACACTTTTTAGACAAATATAATTTAGCGACAAATTAATGAAATAGTTGTTCATTGATTCTGCTTGTCCACTGTAGGCTTCAATGTTGAGTCGGACCTTGGGGACAGGGAGCAAATGTTACTGGGCAATGGAGTCACAGTGGCAGAGGTCAGTCAGATGATTGTTTTGTCATGAAAGTCCATCTTTTTTGGTCATATATGTCCATTGTTTTGTCATATGTATAAATTTTGTCATACATGTTCCTTGTTTTGTCATATATATATATATATATATATATATATATATATATATATATATATATATATATATATATATATATATATATATATATATATATATATATATATATGTGTGTGTGTGTGTGTGCATGCACACTCGTGTGCGCCATTTATGTCCATTGTTTTGGATCATATGTTCACTGTTATGCCATATATGTCCATTGTATAGTCATTATTTCATTGTTTTGCCATACATGTCCACTGTTTTGTCATGCGTGTCCACTGTTTTGTCATGCGTGTCCACTGTTTTGTCATGCGTGTCCACTGTTTTGTCATGCGTGCCCACTGTTTTGTCATGCGTGCCCACTGTTTTGTCATGCGTGTCCACTGTTTTGCCATATATGTCTACTGTTTTGCCATATAACACCACTGTTTTGTTGAGTGTGTCAGTTATTTTACTTTGTGAAGTAAAATTTTAGTAGAAAGGACCCTTTTCAGACCAGAAACACATGGCTAGACTCATATGCTTATAGACCAATGGACAGTCAGCAGGTGTTGGGGTCCTTTACTTCCTGGTATGTTATCTGATACCCATTTTAGGCTGGGTTAGCCTGAAAGCTATGGTGAATTGTGAAGAAAATAAACATCCGGCACGACGTGGATTTGAACCCAAGACTTCATACTGGCAAATAAAATTAGTTAGTTACTAAAAATGTATATAGTATTTAAACATGTGCTAAATGTAATAAACTGTAAAAATATAAATCATATTTGAACATGTGCTTTAATTTAATAAACTGTAAAAATATGTGTAGTATTTGAACACGAGCTAAAAATGGATATATAGCATTTGAACATATGATAAAATATAATAATCTGTTCTGTTTGCTGCTGATGAAGGAAACAGTCATACACACGTACGGATCTACTATTAAGAATGAAACAGTGGAAGTGGCTGATTCCACTACAGCTCTAATGGGTAAGATACTGTGTTTGTTTCACAACGGAAGGTAGTCTATGATTGTTTGTGGGTTTGATCTAGTACCAGAGTGTTAATCTGGGAGCCTGGAAGAGTACAAAGATTCCCAAAATATTCATGTGAATGACACAAGCCACTAGTTTACTTTCTGTGCTCCTGTCCTTTTTGTTCTTAATTCTTGTATTTTCTCGGAGAATTTATAGTTTACACCAGACTTGCAGCTCGCCATTGGATATAATGAGTTAACTTGTAAAGCCATAAAACCCCTATCTTTATTTTCTTTCTACCGTTGATCTGTCAGTGTAAATCTTTTTCTTAACTTTTTTCTATCCCAAACAACGTACCATAATGAGCAGCAATTGTCTTTATGTATCAAGCAATGGATGACGTGTTATTCTGTACATTTAGCCTTAGTATGCTAAAGAAATCTGGCTAGGCAGCACAATAAATGTTGCCTCTTTGAAAGTCATATATTCCTTTATTTTATTTCTGATTATTATAAGCAACAGTGACATAGTAAGGAATAATATGTACACAATAAACAACACTGGCCTAGTAATAAACACTGGTATTATGATGATAAACATTGACAGAATATAATAAACACCACTAACATAACAATAATAAACAACACTGGCAGAGTAATTAGCAAAAATATAGTAATAAACACTAACGTCAAAAATATAGTAATAAACACTAGCGTCAAAAATATAGTAATAAATACTAACGTCAAAAATATAGTAATAAACACTAATGTGATAGTTAACAACATTGACATAATCGTAAACAACTTGGAAATCAAAGCTAGCAGTAAATAATGTGAATGCGATGAAGTTATAACAAACTCAGTGATCTTGCTGTATTTTCTAACAGCTGCATCTGACATCTCTCAGCCCAGTGAAGAGACACTGGCAATTACAAAATCCAGAGGACGGAAATATTCGAAGGTAAATATTGTATCAAATAATTAAGTTATTTTCTTGTAACGAAAGAGCAAGATTGTGCCAGAAAAAGTAAGCTTTTGTTGAAGGGACAGTTTGAGTTTGGAAATGATGTGATAAAACTCTGGACATTCCTGTCAGTGTTCCATTCCCATCTTCAGCAGCCAGCATAGAGTTCAAT